GCGCCGCGTTTTATCCGTGGCCTTTTAATTAAACTACCTCCTCCTCCCCCGGTGGTAGGAGGGGGAGAGGGATCGAGCCCTCCTCCTGAAATCGAGAGTCACATCATCGAAACGGCGCGTTCTCGAGGATTATAGAGCTTAATCGTTTCGCATCATTGGAAAAGGAATGTCGGGATCGTTTTCCTTTTGCGCGAGAATTCTTATCGGAATTCGATATTGCGGAAGGGTGTTTGACTGCGTGTGCAGGTGGGGATATAGAAGGGAAACGGGGCCATGGAACGTAGCCAGAAAAACAGGGAAACGAATTCGAAACGAACCGTTTCGTTCCATCTTGCTCTCCCCCTCCCCCTCGTTAGAAAATGCAATTTATCGTAAGTAGCGTTTTTTTTTTTTTATTCGTTATTTTATTTACCACGCCTTGTTTCGTACTCTCGTGCTTACGAGGGAAGAAACGAACAGGGTGTTGTTTCGAGAGGAGAGGATATCATCTCTTACGTTTCTGTCACCCTTATCCAATTCGTTTGGAGACGTTTGAATCTTTGAATTTATCGTGTTGGATTGGATGAGTGGTCATGTGTTAAATAAATTGTGAAATATATAATAATTGAAGAATGAATTGAAGTATTTGAATATTGTACTTTGTTTGATTAATATTACTTATCTCAAGTAGTTTAGTTAAGATGAAAGGATTAAAGATAAATGTGATGATTATATAGAGTTAAAGAATCGTATATCTGATTTTGCTGTTCGAGATTTTGTTTATTTTTTTTTTTTCATTAAATAAATGTAACAAGATGAGTAACAAAAGAAAAAAAATTAGATTTACCTGTCAAATTTTTATAATACAAATTAGAATAGTTATCAGTGTATGTTGTGGCAATATCATTCGCGTAAAGAAGGATTTATCGTGACATTAAATTTGATAATTCGTTCGTCAATGCGTTTTGGAATTCAATATCTACCAGTTGTCCCGAAATTACCTATTAGATTAGCATAATGCTATTTTATTGAGCATCGCCAGGATTAAACTTTCATTATCCCGACTGTTTAGTGAAATGAACCACGCAAGTATCGATAAATACCTTAAATATAAACAAAATAAATTGTCTTTATCCCAAATTCGCTTACAATTCGTATTTGTAATCCGACACGTAACACGAATCCGATAAAATGGTACTAATAATCATAAAGTAGGAAATCCAAATCGAGAATCTTATCGATCTGCTATTGCGAAGTGAATGTGTGCCTGTTAATAAAAAAAATAATAGAATATGTCACACTCTTTTCTTTAAATTAAATTTCTAATTAGAAAATAAATTTCAAAATCTTAAAATAATTTGTTTTTAAAGGAAGAAATATTTTCAATATTTTCAATTTTATATAAAATACGAAGAAAGAGGAAAACACACATCTAGGATATATTCTTGCTATTGTAAGCTGGATAAATCATTCATAATAACATAAACATGTATTTTGCAATTTGTAACTAAAACGTGTATTTTTCTTAAATATTGATCTATTGTTCTTGAAACTTTCTATATGCATATACACGTATTTTTATTCATATTTTCAATCACTTAAAATCACTTTTTCTTTTTTAAAATTTAAGCAATAGAATCATTTTTAATGTATAATTCCAAATATAATCCATATAATATTTGTGCACATATATTTCATATTTTCATGAATATAAATGTGATAAGCGGATTTATACATTTATAGAAAATTTAAATGCACAAAATGTACATATCAAAGAATACAAAATATTTTCCATCAAATTCCATTCTTCTAATTATCTACTAATCTAATAATTAAAAAAAGAAAAAAAGAAAAAAAATTGAAGAGTACAGATTTTATTAAATTTTATTTTGTATTTTTAATGTAGTACATCTATTATTTTCTTTAATACGTACAAGTATAGCTTAAAAACGTATAAGTATATCCAGAATGTCTAGAAATGACTACAATGTTTCATTCCAATTGTCAGAACACAATCTACAGATATAATTTTTTCTGTCACGATAAATACATTGCACAATCCCTTACACTGTCGTCTCGTACGAAACACAAACTCTCTCCTCGGTAGCCAGAAACATCTCTCAGACGTTGCCCTCTCCATTAGCGGAGCCGCGTAGCATTTTGCTGGCATTTACCAAATTAAGAAGGGAGGCACACAAAAGAAAACGTCAGTGAATAGCCGACAGGATAGTAAAGCAGGGGGAAGAAAAGGTTGGAACCGAATCAAGAAATAATACTTGCGTAGTAATGATGCAACGCTCCCCGTCAAAACCTCTCTATCCACTGCCGAGAAAACAACCCTCTACTCCACCCCCCTCCACGATGATCTTCATTGTAAAGGAGAAACGACAGCTCACTACAAGAATATTAGATTACCACCCCAATGGGAGGGGATAATGCAAGACATTTTTATTTTCCTATTTAAATTGGCGACGAGGAAAGTGATTATAGCTAAACAAATGATAAAATTTGTTGATATATTTCAATTTTCCGCGATAATTATTTCATTTTAATACTTTCTTTTATTTCTTTAATCAAAATGATGTATGGAATATAACGCGTAATGGATTATTAAAAATAGGTCACAAAGCTCAAACGATTCGAATAGTGAAATCACGTTGAATCAATCAATAGAGGTATCAAGAGGTATCATTCGCTTGTATTTTTTTCCATTCTCTCGATTGTCAGGATTAATCGAGAGCGTTCTTTAAAAAGTTGCAAAGGAATTTAATTCGCTCCTTCGTTTCTATCGTGCCCCCAGGGTTTCGGTAAATTACCTTTCTGCAAATTGAAACGTTTAGCAAACGAAATCTGGTCATCCCCTTCGTGTACAGAGGAACGATTCGGTACATAAACGCGGATATGTATATATGTATCATTTCGAGCTAAGAGTTGCATGCAAATACAACTGGTCCGATTAGCAGTACACGTGGGTGGAACTTATGCAAATATATCGTAGCAACGAAAGAAATAATTGATTGATATTTGTTTAAACAAAAATGTCTTCGTGTTTTTTTCCATCGATCGAATATTTCTCTATGATTGATTGACGTGTTAATAAGAATTAGAGGTAGGAGAAAGTACGTTAGTGGTGATAAAATTTATCCAGTCTTTCGAATTTTACAATGAGAATTATATCTATATCTATTTTTCATTTATTATTCATTCTTTCGATAAATTCGATTCGTCTAGATATATATGATTCTTTACGAGATCCTTATAACTATTCTTCGTTATTGTAATTAATTCGAAAGATCCCAAGATTAATTTTTACAACTCATTGATATTTTGCAATTTTTTTTTACGTACCTTTTCATTTCAGTTAATTTCTTAATAATTAATTAAAATGGAACACGCTCGTTCGGCGAAAAGAAAGAACTCATCATACAGAAAAACCAAAAATTTGAAATGTCTCGCCACTAATACCAAAAAAAAAGAATGCACAAAAAAGAGGGGCGCAATACGGGGACACGTATTTCATCCAGACAAAAATTTTTAACACGATCGCAAACAACAGCCTACTTTTTCCTACCGAAAACGAGCAAACTTTGGATGAAAATAATCTAAAACAGGACACAGCCCACCCCTTTTATTATTCCTAACCCACACAGAGAGCTGCACGAAACGTTTCACGCGTGACCCAGTTACCCCCTCGAACGTAACGTTACTTTTCATTTCAATCCAGGGATAAATAACGACGAAATTGCGCGTCGTTTCGACCACACACGTTTCGATATAAGGCCACGAGTAAAAATCGATCCTTGCCCCTTGGATATAATACACGTAAAAGGAGAATACGTGAAATGGGGCGATGGAACGGAGCGATAATTCGTCTGCAATCAGCGGGACGATAATTATCATCGCGAATCTACGTGTATCAGAACTCCTGTAACGCAGAGCGTGTTTCAAAACACGGATTATCCGATCGTTCGACGTCACACCGAGAAATTTAATCAATCGACACCCTCCTGCACTCTCTCTCTCTCTCTCTCTCTCTCTCTTCTTCTTCTTCTCTCT